GAATTCAGTCTTTATTCCTTTTTCTCCAAGTAGTAGCCTGCCTTTCAGAGATCTAAACTTTAACACTTATTCCTATCCCCAAGTTAAAGTTTTCTCTGAAGTTTAACATGGAGGAAACCTGTCTTTATCAAGTCCTTTGATCTTGTCTTGTTATGGGAATACAGTCCATGATCTTCAGAAAACTGGTGTTTCCCTTTTCAATAAGGGGCAAACTTTGTGTCTTTGATATAAAACCATGGATACTCTATCCTTTGTTTTCACAATGCTTTTGCTAATACAATAGAAAACTTAATAGTTATTACATGAGTTAAGAGCTGGAATTTAAGGGCCAGCAGGTGGCATGGAGGTTAAGGTGGTTGGATCCCACATAGCCAACTCTGTGTTTCAAGTCTCAGATCTGGAAAAATATACTTGGGATATATGTATGTGTACCCAAAATCCTGAGAGGAGAATGGAGGAGAAGGGATTGCAATATGGCCATCCCCATCCCTGGGGTGAAAATGATGTCTCTTTGCCTCTCTTTGTCTCTCTTTGGTGAGCACATTTATAAAACTGATTATAAAAGATACTAAGAATATTTATACAGTTTTCCCTGAGATTTGCATCTTAAAAGAATTAATCCATTGTTTCTCAAGTTTATTTTTATATGACATACAATTATATGTATTTAGCATGTATAACATAATTTTTAATTTTTTTCTTTTTTTTTGCATTCAATCGCTGTATATCTTTTTTAATAAGAAAAAGGAAGTTTTACTAGAAAAGTGAGGATTTGGGGGGGTTTTCTGGGGGGAGGTTTGGAGAGGTTTTTGCTATAGGGTGCGTGTGCTCACCAGAAAGACAGAGAGAGACAGAGATAGAAAATGAGAAATCACACCCCAGGGGGGATGGTGATGCCACAGTCCCTTCTCCTCCATTCTCCTCTCTGGATCTTGGGTACACCCGCATACACACCCAGCATGTGTTTAAGCCACCAGGTCCTGAATTCAAACCACGGTCGACTATGTGGGAGTCCAGCAACATAGCCACTACACCAATTGCTAGTCCCAGAAAGTGAGGATTTTTAATAGAAAAGAAGTACACCTCCATGCCAGCAAAGCATGCAGGTGGGCAGCTGCTAGAGAAAAACAACTGCACTGGGTATGGAGTTAGGTGTTACATTTATTCTAAGAGTTGATAATAAATATTTGGCAGGAGAAAGTTTGTCCTAGTATCTGGCTTTTTTGTTTGGAATTCACATGCTTCTTCCTGTACTTGCATATCTCTCTCACTGGTAAGAAGTTCAATTGCCTAATCCTACATACTCACTGTGGACTTAGAAGATATGAACATCCTTATTTAGATTAACTGCCCAATCAGCTTATTGTCCCAGTGAGAATAAGGATGTTGATCAAAGCTCTTTTCTTGTTGAGACGAGGGAAGTTAACTTTCTCTATGCGCTTTTCTTGGGTACTAAAGAAGAAAAATGAGATCTGCATCACTGTCCTTGCACTAGGACCTGGGTGGGAGAAAGGCATCTCTGCAGAGGGTCAGGTTGTAGCTTCTGACAAGTTGTGATTGATGTGGCTGATGTATTTCTGCTATTTTCTTAGGGTTGTACACTCATTTCTACCTAACTCTATCACATTCCCCCCCAAGGACTTGCGACCCTAAAATCATGCAGTGAAATGGATCAAAGTTCTCTTTTTTTTTCATGTAGCTATCTCCAGCTGATAAATGGGTCAAAGAGAGGAGAGTCAGAACTCAGTTCTTGCTCTTTGACAGGCCAGTCTCAATATTTCAAGAAGCTTCAGAGGTGTCTTAATGAAAGACCAGAGTGACTCTATTTTTTTATGGGGGCGACTCCATTTTGTTAAACCCACCTTGCTGAGAATCACCACCATTTCAAGGAGGCAAGCCAATCAGGTAGGAGAAGGTCATAAGATCATCACCTCACTGGGGCTGACCAATGATTAAAAAAAAAAAAAAAAAGGAAATACCAGAGACCTGAAGTAACTTTCTTGCCAGTCAGTAAAAGACAACTATGCTTCTTGAAATCTACAGCCAATGTATAGCCACCTGAGTGCATTCCTCAACACCCCTCAACCTTCCTCTCCAACAGCCAAATAAAAACCCAGCCCAACTAACACTGGGGGCTCTTGACTCTGATCTGCTGTGTTAGTGATGATTGCGAGTCCTGGCTCAAGCCCGAGTTAAAACGAACCTTGTGTGCTTGCATCAGAATCAGCTCCTTGGTTGTCTTTTGGGTATTTTGTAACCAGGGCACAACATTTAAGGGCTCATCTGGGATTCTCCAAGACCCCCAGGATCCCCAAACCAGAGGGTTGACTGATAATAGCCAGTGAGTGTGTTTCCTTTGACTTTGTGTTTCTCCTGCTCGTTCTCTGAGGGCCCTAACTCTGTAATAGATTGGAAACAGTCTAGCAGACACGCTGGTGGGCTGCCAATCTGGGGGCCTAGAAGACATTCCAGATCCCCTAGGAGGGGATGGAGTGCCCCTAGTTGTTCTGAGTTCTCTGAGGGGACATAGCAGGTCACTCCTGCAGCATGGCGTGAGGCTGTAGTCCCACTTTAGGTTTGCTTTTCACTCAGTGAAGAGCATCTCTGCAGCCGCATTTGTTCTGTCTGTGTGTTTATTACCTATCTCTGTTGGTGTGTACGTTTTTCTGACGGAAATGGGACAGACTCAGACTTACCCTCTGATGCTTATGACTGACCATTTCAAGGATGTTATAATCAGAATCCATAATCTTAGTCTAGATGTTAAGAAATGGAAGTTTGTCACTCTCTGTACAGTCAAATGGCCGGCTTTCAATGTCAGCTGGTCCCCGGGAGGGACCTCTGATTTAAAAACCATCTGGAAGGTAAAGAACATCGTTTATCATCCCCAGAGTGGACATCTGGACCAAATCTCATACATAATAACCCTCTCCCTGGATTGAGCCTTTCTTACAGCCTCTGATGCCTCCCAAAATCTTTGCAGTCCAGGAAAAAGACCCCCCAGAAGCCTCTGCACCCCCCAAAACCAGACTTCTAAGGAGGAACTAAAGAGGACTTGATTTTCCCTCCTCCCTACCTGTGGGGAGCCGCCCACATCAAAATGGCTGCCATGACCTTCACTGCTTAAAATGGCCAGTGCGACCTTGACACATACACCAGGAACGCAGACCTCCTGGTTCAGACAGAACTGACAGGTCCTCAATTAGGTCCGTTGTAAACCCCGCCTACTTCCCTCTGCCTTGTGTACATAAGAAAGTGCTCTAGCCCTCAATAAACGAGCGAAACCTTCATACCATCAAGAGTTGTGACACTGTGTGAGCTGTGATACTTCTTTCCGGTTCCAGACCTCCGCCCCCTTGCTCAAAGTTCTCTGCCCGATTTGTCCCGCAGGCCGGGACACCTACCAAGCCCCAGTTCCAGCAGTGGGACTGAGAGGGGCAGAAGGAGGGGTGGGGGAAGGAGCTGAGGGAAGGGCAAGAAGGGGAGAAGCCAGCCTGTGCCACAGCCCTGCCCAGAAGCTGATGAGCAAAATAGAGGCCCCTTCTCTGGCACTCCTGGGAGGTGGGAGGCCCCACCTCTACAACCCGGACCAGCAGATTCAACTGTGCTGCCGCTCTGAGCTGCAGGACTACTGGATGCAGATGGAAACCAGCCTCACCACTATTGGCCTTTTGCCACTAGTGACCTATATAACTAGAGAACCCAAAATGTCCGGTTCTCTGAAAATCCTAACGAGCTAATAGCCTTACTAGAAACTGTCGTTTTTACCCACCAGCCAATGTGCGATGATTGCCAACAGCTCCTTTAGATTCTGTTCACCACTGAGGAGTGAGAGTGAATCCTGTCCAAAGCCTGGGAAATAGTCTCAGGTGATAACAGGCAGCCCATAGGCAATCCTGATACTATCAACACCAAATTTGCTTCATCCCAGCCATAATGGGACTTCAACATGGCTGAAGGTAAGGAGAGGCCAGATTCTGCTGGGAGGTCTCAAAGTGGCTGTCAAAAAGCCCACCAATTTGGCTAAAGTAGGAGACATTCAACAGGGAAGGGAAGAAAGTTCTGCTGCCTTTTTAGAAAGGCTCATGGATGCCTTCCAGTGATACACTCTTATGGACCCAGAGGCCCCTGAAGACAAACTGGCCCTCATAACAGCTTTCATTAATCAGGCGACACCGGATATTAGGCGTAAACTGCAGAAACTAGATAGGCTAGGAGAAAAAAGTATTCAAGATTTAATTGCTGGGAACCAGCAGTTAGTATAATGGCTATGTCACTGGACTCCCACTCCCGTAGTCGACTGCGGTTGACGTCCTGGACCCAGTGGCTTAAAACTCACGCCGGGCATGTGTGCGTGCATGCCCAAGATCCCAAGAGGAGAATGGAGGAGAAGGGATTGTGGCATGACCATCCCCCCTGGGGGGTGATTTCTTGCTTTCTGTCTCTATGTCTCTCTCTGTCTGTCTGGTGAGCGCATGCACCCTATAGTGAAAACCTCTCAAAAAAAAAAAAAAGATTTAATTGCAGTGGCTGAAAAAGTTTACAATAATTGGGAAACCCCCAAAGAAAAAACAGGCCAAAGCCAATGACAGCCAAACTCAGAATTTAGCAAAAATCTTGTTGGCCTCCATGGCAGGAGACCAGAGAAAGAAACAAAGGTGCCTAAAAGAGCTGGTCCAGGAGGGAAATACTAATGGGCCTAATAAAAATGGCCACCCCTGCCTCAGGAGAAATCAGTGCACCTACTGCAAAAGGAGGGCCACTGGTCAAGGGACTGTCCAAAACAGAAGGACAAGCCTCTCTCCAATACACCTGTCTTGACTCTGGATGATCATAGTGAATGGGGGAACCAGGTTCAGCACCCCTCCCCAAACCCAGGGTAACTCTCAGAGTGGAAGGGACCCCCATCAACTTCCTAGTGGACACTGGTACTCAAAACTCAGTTGCTCCTACAACCTTTTGGCACATTATCTACCAAAACTGTCTGGGTCCAGGGAGCAATGAAAGCAAGTAAGTATTTCTGGACCACTAAGAGAACGGTGGACCTTGGAGAAGGCAAGGTATCCCACTCATTCATGGTGATTCCTGAGTGCCCCTATCCATTGTTGGGCAGAGACTTATTAACAAAACTGGGTGCCCAAATTCACTTAGATCCAGGGGGTGCTAAAGTCCTCAGTAAGTCTGGACACCCTATACGTGTCCTCACTGTCAGCTTGGAAGATGAGTACCGACTGCACCAGCTCCCACAAGAGACCCCCCCCCCATACCGGACATGGCACAATGGCTGGCTGAATTCCCCAGCACATGGGCGGAAACTGGGGGAGGTGGTATTGGATGCACATCAGTCATCAGTATTCATAGAACTTAAACCAGGGGCAGACCCAGTCCGAGTGTGCCAATATCCCATGTCCCTAGAGGCCCGAGCTGGCATCATCCCTCATATTTGCTGGCTGCTGGAGCAGGGAACATTGGGGCCTTGCCAGTCACCTTGGAAAATGCCACTCCTGCCTGTTAAAAAGCCTCACTCCAATGATTATCAACCTGTGCAGGACTTGAGAGAAGTCAATAAGAGAGTAATAGACTTTCACCCAACAGTGCCCAACCCATATACTCTCTTTAGCTCTGTGCTTCCAACTCATCATTGGTGCACTGTCCTAGACCTAAAAGATGCCTCCTTTAGCCTTCCTCTAGCACCTAAGAGCCAAGAATTCTTCACCTTCAAGTGGTCAGACCCCGAGCGTGGATTCAATGGACAATTAACTTGGAAATGCTTGCCTCAGGGCTTCAAAAACTCGCCTACTATCTTCGATGAAGCCTTGCGTGAAGATTTGGGTGAGTTTCGAGCCATGCACCCTGAAATTGTATTGTTACAGTACATAGACAACCTGCTAGTAGCAGCCAAAACCCAGCAGGACTATCTACAGGGCACTTGTGCTCTGCTCAACACCCTTAGAAGCCTTGGATACAAGGCCTCAGCCAAAAAGGCCCAAATTTGTCAGCTAAAGGTAAGATACCTGGGGTACGAGCTTGAAGGCAGACAGTGCTGGCTGACTGCTGCCAGGAAGGAGACCGTGCTAAAAATCCCTAGGCCTTCCTCTCCAAAACAGGTGACAGAATTCCTGGGATCTGTGGGCTTTGGCCGGTTATGGATTCCTGGGTTTGTGGAATTGGCTATGCCCCTCTATGAAGCGACCAAAGAAAGCCAGGGCACATTCGTCTGGACAAAGCGAATGGAACAATCTTTTAACCAAATCAAAACTGCTTTCTTCTTGACACCAGCCCTTGGTTTGCCCAATGTAACTAAACCATTCCACTTGTTTGCGGGTGAAAATAAGATTATTGCAAATGGAGTCCTAGTCCAACCCTTAGAACCCTGGAAAAGGCCTGTAGCCTATCTTTTTTTAAAAAAATTAGATTCTGTTGCAGCAGGTTGGCTTCCCTGTCTCTGAATAATTGCAGCCACCACCCTTATGATCAAGGACGCTAATAAATTGACCTTAGGGCAAGAACTTTACCTCTCTACCCTTCACGCAATTGAGGGAATTATTTGGCAGCCCCCCAAACAATGGCGAAGCAATGCCCACCTTGTTCATTATCAGTGTCTCTTACTAAACCCTGCGACCTTGCTGCCAGATCCAGCCCTTGACACTCCCCTCCACAACTACACTGAAATCCTCACACAGGTTCATGGAGGCCGACCTGACTTGAGAGATCAGTCCTTGCCAGATGCAGAAATGACCTGGTGTCTGGATGGGAGCAGTTTTGTGTTGAAGGGACTGAGGTATGTGGGGGCATCAGTGGTGTCAGAGCGGGAGATTTTATGGGCAGAGCCTCTACCAGTGGGGTCATCAGCCCAGAAGGTTGAACTGATAGCCTTAACCAAAGCTTTAACCCTGGGCAAAGACAAAAAGGTCAATTCATACACCAACAGTCGCTATGCCTTTGCAACCACTCACATACACAGGGCCATATACCAGGAACGAGGCCTCTTGACTGCAGAAGGAAAAACTATAAAAACCAAGACCGAAATCTTGGCACTGTTGGCTGCCATTTGGTTCCCCAAAAAGCTGGCCATCATTCATTGTCCTGGTCACCAAAAGGGCAATTCCCCAGTCACCAGGGGTAATAACCTGGCCAACTACATGGCCAGGGATGTAGCCCTAAAAGTAATAGTTTTTGTGGCCCAGACACCAGACCCTGGTGGCCTAGTCCTCCCTGACCAACCCCAGTATACACTGGAAGACCTTACATGGATAAAGGGCCTGCCCTCAGCCTACAATCTCCACAGATGGTGGAAGTCTCAAGATAATAAAGTGATCCTCCCAGAGGCCCTCAGTGACCAAATCTTATCTAAAATCCACCGAACCCACATGGGCACTAGAAAGATGCAAGAACTCCTTCAACATGCTCACATTCTCATAAAAGGCACCAACTCAACGACTAAAACTATTGTGCACCACTGCAATGCCTGTTGGTTGACCAACATTTCCAAACCCCAGAGACAGCCTGGCTCATGAATCAGAGGGAACAAGCCTGGCGCATATTGGGAAGTAGACTTTACAGAGGTAAAACCTGCTAAATATGGTTACAAATACTTACTGGTCTTCATAGACACCTTTTCGGGTTGGGCAGAAGCATTTTCTTCCAAATATGAAACAGCCCAAGTCATGGCTAAAAAAATCCTCAAAGATATCTTACCCAGGTATGGATTCCCCACTATGATTGGGTTGGATAACGGACCAGCTTTTGGATCCAAGGTAATTCAAGGTTTAGCCTCAGTGTTGGGGACAGATTGGAAATTACATTGTGCATACCATCCCCAGAGTTCAGGACAAGTAGAGAGAATGAATAGAACTCTAAAAGAGACCTTAACTAAATTAACCTTAAAAACTGGTAGTGACTGGGTGGCTCTCATCCCCTTCACACTCTTCCTTATACACAACTCCCTGGAAGAGCCTGAAACAACGGAGAGCCAAAGCTTATAACTAAGGTAATCAATATAAGTGGGCCCACAAGTGACTGAGGATAAAAGGTCGACTGCTTTTACCTATTTTCCAAAATCCTCTCAAAAGGGACTAGGGAGAGTCTTGCCCACAAATATTAACAAAACATTTTTTCCATTAACAGGATTCTTCCAACATCCTGTCCCTGGTATAGTATCTTTGAGATGTATATTTTCAGCCCATTACAGTGTATTCTATTCTAACCTCTTCCCAAGACACAGAACTTCCCTTTCCTTGAGGTGTAGATTAAGCATTTCTTTTACTAATCTCTTCCCAAGACACAGATCTTCCCTTCCAATCACCAACCTAGGAATTGTGGAACCCACCTATAACCTACAAGCCCCCCCAACCCCACACCCCACCCTCACCTCCCACCCCACACCCATCCACCAACCCCATTTCCATATGTCCTGCCTCTTTGGGCCAGATCAATGAAAATTTCTCCACTAATTTTGTCTATCAATCTCAAAAAATCAAATAAAAGGAACCCCTGTACCTGATCAGCCCAAGAGATAAAGACATGTTTTTGCCTTCTCTCTGGGCCTAGGTCACTCATGTTCTGCCTGGAAATAAGCCACATTAATTATTCATTATTAATTTTTAGAGTTGGTTATTTTCTATCGACACAGCAATAGGAAAATTAAAAGTCAGTTTTTACATTCTCATGAAGATTCTCATGAAGATTCTCAATTTTTGTGGTTTCTTCTGGGAGAGCTTTATTTTTTTTCCTGTTTGTCAAATATCCACCATGTAACATATAACACATAACATAAATACCAACTATTTTATTAAACTAACCATATTAAGATAAATATGATGATGCCTGATCAATAAACCCCTAGATAAATGACATTGAAATCTGTGAAGATCTTCACTTATTAAAATTCTTTTTTAACTGTATTTGAAGCCAGCTTATTTATCAAATATTTCAGTCATGTGAACTTGAATAGTATTTAAATTAATTTATATGAGCACTCTTTTTTTTTTTTTTTTTTTTTGGAGATTTTTCATATAAGGACGCTCGCCAGACAGACAGACAGAGACATAGAGACAGAAAGCGAGAAATCACCCCCCAGGGGGGATGGTCACGCCGCAATCCCCTCTCCTCCATTCTCCTCTTGGGATCTTGGGCACGCATGCACACGCGCCCGGCGTGAGTTTTAAGCCACCGGATCCAGGACACGAACCGCGGTCAACTACGTGGGAGTCCAGCGACATAGCCATTACGCTAACTGCTGGTTCCCTGAGCACTCTTTATAAATCAAATTGAATGGAATTCCTTAAGCCTTTTACCAGATAGACATGCAACTTATAATACATAACATGTATGTATACACACACATAAGAAGATCTTATAATTTTTTGAGTTCTGTAGCTCTATATATTTTTTTCTAGTTTGAGAGGTTAATCCTTAGATATTTATCTCTTATCTCAAGCTCTGCCAAAAAGCAAACACAGTTTTTAAGCAAACTTGAATACCTTTAGCACGCAGAGGGGATCCTGCAGAGCTGATAATGTTTGACATTTTAACCTTTTAAATGTAATGAGTTAACAATGACTACGGATTTTTGCAATTAGTATAAAGTCTGGAAAGTTTAAAAGAACAGATTATAATATATACTTCGAAAAATGATTTGTCACAGCATGCCCTAGAATTTATAGTTTTGTTTACTTAGTCATTTTCAGGCCAGGTTTCCCTGCTTTTAAATTATACTGGGGCCAAATGTATTATAAAGGAAAATGAACCTCCTACTCTGTTAACAGTTTGAAGGACAAACATTTCCAGAGAGATAGGATGTGCTCCAGTGGGGAGTATCTCAAAATCAAAGGAATATTTACCCATCTAGAATGAGTGAAGAAAAAAAAATGAGGAATGGAATTTAGAGGCAAGCCTAAGAAAGCTTGAGACATCCTTGCAGAGCTGTTCCAAGGTAACATACATCCAACTGTCTACACTGGCCAACTGGAGTAAAGAGAATGGAGGAGATATCTCTGACTCATACCACCAGATTTAGCACACCTATCTGGGGACCTAAGATCCATGAACCTCTAAATATTCTGCCCCAAAACCTTGGGACCACTTGTTAGTTTCCAAGAGTTTTTCTGAGAACATCCTCATTCTCATTGCTTATTCCTATAAAATCTGAAAGGAAAAGTTAGAACTCCTTCCCCAGACTCCCATGACAGGGAATCAAAACCTTTTCCTTGGACTCATCATCATGGAAAAATTAAAATTCTAAAGAGGCAAATGCCATCTGCAACAAATGTATCAATAACGTGTGAAACAAAACTGAGAAACTTTCAATTAGAAAACCTTGTACCCAAATCCTGAGAAATTTTAAGCCAGAAAGTGTAGTATCTGCAGGGCACTTGTGCGTGCATGCCCAAGATCCTGAGAGGAGAATGGAGGAGAAGGGATTGTGGTGTGGCCATCCACCCTGGGGAGAGATTTCTCGCTTTCTCTCTCTCTGTCTGTCTGGTGGGCGCACGCGCCCTATAACAAAAACCTCTCCAAAAAAAAAAGAAAAAGAAAAGTGTGGTATCTACAGGAATTATAGTCCCAGGAAAATAGAAGACATGGGAGAAGGTTGAATACTCAGGCTCTAGAAATTCAAGGAACCCATAAAAATGGAAGGCAGCCACCCTGACAGAGGGCAAAGAGGACAAGACATAAGACAGAACTGTGCTAGCAAAGGGTGGCAGTACCCAGATTCTGGCAAGGCTTATACTTGAAGATGCTCAGAGGGCAGCAGGAGGAAGCTTCCTTAGCGGTTGAGGCAGGGAAAGCAATCCACAAAGTACCTAAAAGTTTATCTGAGTCACGGCACCAAAATATGTTATAGGATGGGAGAGTGTTGAGCTGCATTGAGTAAATTCCTTGGTTCTTCACTTCCAGATCTCTAATATTAGAGATCTACCCTCTGACAAGAAAAATTAAAAATTGAAAACACTTGTAAAGTTCAAAAACAGAAGTTTCAATAAGAAAGTGAGGATTTTAAATAAAAAAGAAACATACTTCTGGGGACCAGCAGTTAGTGTTATGGCTATGTCGCTGGACTCCCATGTAGTCGACCGCGGTTCAAGTCCCAGACCTGGTGGCTTAAAACTCATGCTGGGCACGTGTGCGTGCATGCCCAGATCCCAAGAGGAGAATGGAGGAGAAGGGATTGCGGTGTGGCTATCCCCCCTGCGGGGTAATTTATCGCTTTCTGTCTCTCTGTCTCTCTCTGTCTGTCTGGTGAGCACACGCACCCTGTAGCTAAAACTTCTAAAAAAAAAAAAAAAGAAAGAAAGAAAGAAAGAAAGAAAGAAAGAAAGAAAGAAATATACTTTTATGCCTAAGAAGCATGCAGATGGGCAGCTGCCAAAGGACAACAGCCATCATGGTATATATTTGCAACATTGAAAATTAATTTTCTCAGCATGAATAACCTGTATGTTAGTCTAGAAATTACCGTACACATTGTCATCAACAGATAATTTTCCATCTTTTTGTCTGTTGAATTTTTTTTTCTCCTTGGTTCCCTCCATCTTCCCTGCCATTTCTTGCCTATTCATTCATCTACTGATGAAAATTTAGTTGGATTTCACCCCTTGGCTCTTGGAATATCTTTTTTAAAAAATATATTAACCATGCTAACAGAAATGAGGATATATCCCACTTGGTTTTTATTTATATTTCCCTCATGACTACTGAAGCTGAGTATATTTTCATACACGTGTTGGCCATTGGATTATTTTCTTCTGATAATTGTCTATTTGGGTATTTTTGCTCAACCATGGTTTTGGGGGTTTTTTGTTTTGTTTTGTTTGTTTTTGTCTTTGTTTTGGAGAGGTTTTTGCTATAGGGCTCTTGCGCTCGCCAAAAAGACAAAGAGACAGAAAGCAAGAAATCACCACCCAGGGGGAATGGCTGTACCACAATCCCTTCTCCCTTCAGGATCGTGGGCACACACACACACACATGCCCAGTGTGAGTTTAAACCACCAGATCCAGGACTCAAATTGCAGTCAACTACATGGGAGTCCAGCAACATAGGCTTTACACCAACTACTATTCCCTCAACAATGTTATGTAAGTTATAATTTTAATTTGTTATTATTTTAATTTACATTTAATCACTGTACATCTTTACATTGTACAACATAACTTTTCTCAGCATGAATACAGTGAATAATAAAGACATTGATAATAAAGACATTAATAATAAAGACATTAATGTACATTAATATCAGCAGATAATTTTTCATTTGTGTGCTTATTAAATGTGTTATTTACTTTTTCCCAATCCCCTCCACCCATCCCCATTACCCACTCCCTATAACCTCCCAACACTGTCTCTAGTATCTAGAGTTGCCCTCCCTACTATTATACTTTCCAGTATTTCAGTTACTTCTATAGAGTGCAAACATTATAGAGTGAAAACATACAATACATGTCTTTCATAGTCAGGATTGCTTCAGTTAGCATTAAATCCTCCATATTTGTCCACTTTTATCAAGCCTCAGGGTAT